CCATACATATTGTTGGTTGGACTGAAAATTGGTATAAGCTTTGGAGAGGACAATTTAGAATATATAAATTTTGTTTTAAAATATACATATCCTTTGTCATAGTAATCCCATCAGTAAGAATGTATTCAATGAGTCATGACACAAGTATAGAGGATGTATCTACTAGTACTAGTATGAGAAGTTTATTATAGCATTATTTACAATATAAACAAATCTGAGACAAGGAAAATGGTTGAATACATTTTGACAATATAGTATATATTATCTATGACAAAGAATACCATGTTACTGTTAAAAGAACAAAGTAGGTGCATATTTACTGTATTGGTTTGCTATGGCTGCCATAAGAAAGTATCACAGACTGGGTGTGTAGCTTCCAGTGGTCACCAACCTTTTGGACCTCACAGACCACTGGTTGGCAACTGCTGGAAACAACTGAAATTTATTTTCTCAGGGTTCTGAAAGCTAGAATTCTGAGACAAGTACTTCATGCCATTCCCTTCTGGCCTGTAGAGTTTCTGATGAGAAATCTGGTGTCAGCCTTATGGGAGCTCCTTTTAGGTAACAGTTTGCTTTTCTCTTGCTCCCTTTAAGATTCTCTTTTTGTCTTTAATTTTTGGCATTTTAATTATGATGTGTCTGGGCGTGGGCCTGTTTGGATTCTTCTTGCTTGTGGTTCTCTGTGCCTCTTGAACTTGTGTGACTTTTTCCTTTACCAGGTTATGGAAGTTTTCTGCCATTATTTCTTCAAACAGATTCCCTATCTCTTTCTCCCTTTCTGCCTCTTCTGGAACAGCTGCTATTCTAATACTGTTACATTTCACATCGTCCCACAGCTCCCTTAAGCTGTCCTCCTGTTTTTAAATTGTTTTTTCTTTTTGGTTGTCTGGTTGAGTGATTTTTTTCAGCCCTGTCTTCTAATTCACTGATTTGATCCTCAGCTTCCTGTAATCTTCTGTGTATTCCTTCCAATGTGTTTATTTGTGCTATGTCATTCTTTATTTTCCATTGTTCTTTTTTCATAGTTACTATATCTTTTCTCATGCTGTTGAGCATCTTTACCATCATTACACTGAACTCTGCTTCATATAAATTTCTTTTTTAAAATATATTTTTATTAATTTCAGAGAGGAACAGAGAGGGAGAGATAGATAGAAACATCAATGATGAGAGAGAATCATTGACTGGCTGCCTCCTGCACATCCCCCACTGGAGATCGAGCCTACAACCTTAGCATGTGCCCTTGACTGGAATTGAACCCGGGACCCCCTAGTCCACAGGCCGACATTCTATCCATTAAGCCAAACTGGCCAGGGCCATATAAATTTCTTATCTCTGCTTCCTTTATCTCTTCTTCTGGAGAATTCTCTTGTTCTTTCATTTGGGGGTTGTTGTTTTTTGTCTTCTCATTTTAGCTGTCTGTTTAGGTTTGTATTAGGTAGGTCCTCTATGCCTCTCAATTTCTAGTGCAGGACAGTATCAAACGGTGTTTCTGACTAATTAGATCAGGCAAAGACTCAAAGCCTCCAGAGACTGATTCTACCTACAGACTGATAGGATTCCAACTTGAATGGTCCCCAGGTATTCGTTCTCAGGTGTTGTGAGAGTGTTTTTCAACAGGGTGGTGCAGTTGCTTCTGCCTGGAGGCTAATTGTTATTTTTAGTGTCTTAAGTGGCCTAAGGGCAAGATGTTTCTCAATAGGGTGGGTCAACTGTCTTCCCCCCAGGAAAGGCAAATATCTATGTGGAAAAGATCTCATCTGCTATGTGAGGGAATGACTCAGCACAGGAAATGTGTGTGTGTGTGTGTGGGGGGGGTGTCTGCCTTCTGATCTCCAACCCCTAAGACCCTAAACCTGGCTTCAGCTCACACAGCTCCAGTCCACTCTGCCCTCCCTCTGCCAGAGCACAAGGTGGGTGGCTCTAGAGGGAATTTTGTGTACTGGCCCTTTAAGAGGGTGCCTGAATTTCCAGTCATCACTCCCTGCCAGACAGCAACTCTGCTGTTTTTCACAGTCAGATGTTATGTGGGTATCCTTCTGAGTTCTGGTGCTCTCTGCTGGGGGGACCAGCTTGGGGATTAGATCCCGGAGTTCTCAGTGGCAACCCCCCACAGTTGAGATATCTCTCTGGGACCTCAGTTGCTGTCTGTGGGCGCCCAGCCAGTCCTTTTGCTCCTCTGGCCCTCCCACCAGTCTCTATATGGTCTCCACTTTCACTCCTCGGATATCAGGGTTCTCTCCAGCAAGTCTTTCATTGATTATACAGGAAGTTTTTCTGTATTTTAGTTGTAATTCTATGTTTCTGGGAGCATGTCCATGCAGCATACACTTACTCTGTCACCATTTTTAATCTCCCCAAATTTCCTCTTCTTATAAAATTCACCAGACTTATTGGAATAGGAAACACACTAATGACCTTTTTAAAACTAATTTATTTCTTTAAAGATCCTATCTCCAAATACAGCCACCTTTTGAGGTACTGGGTGTTACGACTTCAACATGTGAAATTCAGGGGGACACAATTCAGTCCATAACATTTGCTGCCATTGAAAGATGTCCATGATTTTTAGGCTAAAAAAAAAAAATCAAGGAGCAGAACAACATGTATGGTATGATCCCCTCTCCCCCCCTTTTTAATTACAAAACAATCAAAACAAACACCCTGGTACATGTTTACATGCAGTTTGGGGTATATTGAAAACATTCCAGAAAGATAGATATCCAATTGTTAATAACAGTTCCCTGAGGAATAAAACTATGAAAGAAAGGGAGAGGCAGATTTCTACTCTTTTTTTTTTTTTACACAAGCATGGGTTATTTTTGTAATTGGAAAATTTTAGCTTAAAAAAATATAGCTACAATGTCGACACCCTCCCCCTCAAAAGTAAAATGTTATTCCTTGAAAATGTCCTTACTGAAATGGGGTTAGGGACTGGCATTCAACCCCAGGTAGATTCACAAAGAGAAAAAAATTGGAAGAAAAACAACTAAACACAACACCTTAGCACCATCTTAAACATTGGGGAGGGAGAGACACAGGATGGCCAAGATTGTCTTTGTCTGCCAACTCAGAATGAGGGGCTCAGGGTAAAAAAAATTGTTAGAAAATAAAGTAATATTTCTTGTGTGTCTGAATTTTGAGAATCATGCAGTTATACACACTCTTCTCCTTTAATTCTCATGTAATATTATTTTGATTTTACAGTTGAGTAAAGAGCTTTTTAAAATATATATATATTTTTTTTATTTCAGAGAGGAAGGGGGAGAGGAAAAGAGAGATAGAAACATCAATGATGAGAAAGCATCATTGATCGGCTGCCTCCTGCACGCCCCTACTGGGGTCGAGCCCACAACCTGGGCATGTGCCCTTGACCGGAATCGAACCTGGGACCCTTCAGTTCGCAGGCCGATGCTCTCTCCACTGAGCCAAACCAGCTGGGGCAATAAAGAGCTTTTTTTAAAAAAAAAATTTTTATTGATTTCAGGGAGGAAGGGAGAGGGAGAGAGAGAAATAGAAACATCAATGATGGGAAAGAATCATTGACTGGCTGCCTCCTGCACGCTCCCTACTGGGGATCGAGCCTGTAACCCGGGCATGTGCCCTTGATGGGAATCAAACCTGGGACCCTTCAGTCCACAGGCCGAAGCTCTATCCACTGAGCCAAACCAGCCAGGGCGGAAAGAGCTTTTTAAGGTTAATTAAAAGGTCACATAACTAGTACTAGCAAAACTATAACTCACATTTGAGTCTCCCTCACCCTGAAGTATGTGCTAGCAGCTAGCTACTACTCTCCGCTGCTTGGAATAGGTTTTGCCTCCTCCCTACCACCTGCATCCAACCTCTACTCCAAATCTTGCTAATTTAGGCAGCATCCCCTCCTCTAGGAAGGCACTGTTGAGCACCCCTGCCCCCAAGTTTAGGTGGCCCTCTCTATATCTCCCTAAGTTCCCTGACCCCATCTGTATCACAGACCATGTGGAGTCTAAGGAACTCTGTGTATGATTTTTCTCCTCTACCAGACTGTGAGCTCTTGAGGGTAGCAATTAAGTATCGCCCCTGCCTGACACATCGTAGTAGGTGCTTTAGTTCTGCAACAGAAGAATATTATTTATATTTGATTGTTTCCTCACTAAACTCTGAACTTCATGAAGTTAAACAACACGTCTGGTTTTATGCACCATGAAATCACTGGAGCCTAAAACATTGCTTGGCACAAGCTAGGCTTTCAATAAATATTTTTCAATAAGTGAATAATTCTATAAGTAGTCTCCTCTCTTGACGGTGTCTCTGACTCACATCCCGAGGGGGGAAAAATAGCAGCTTCTTGACATCCTTTTTCTTGTAATGATTTAGTATTTTACATGATTTCCACGCTTCAGCATTTTAAAATTCGTCATTATTTTCCCGTTTTCATCCTCACAACTCACATGGAACATGATCTCCACTATTTGAAAGACTAAGATTTTTCGTCTGCCTTACATTTATCCTCCTATTGCAAACTGCGAGCGATTCCTCTCAACCTCCCTCACGAGGGGAGTGGGAGTGAGACTTGGAGCTGAACAATTAACCTGCAATTTACGAGCTTGCTTTTCCCTGGGATAATTGCAAAGTTACACGTTTCTGGGCGTGACCCTCTCACGACAGAATCGCAACAAGTGGATTGATGACGTACGACTACCACTAAAGATGTGGAATACTAGGAGGGTTAAAACAGTATTTGCTAGGCAAGGTTCTGATCTTTTAAAAAAATATATGCTACAGGCTCTCATTAGAAGAACAAGAAAAATATGTTCCAAATTACTTTCCAGGCAATTTGCCTGGATTAACAGTCCCACAGACAAAGAGGAGGACCAAACGCGCTCTCCCACCGCCGTCCGCAGCCTGAGCCCGCGCCCCTGTGGGCGGGGCCAACGGAGCCTCCCGCGACCCCAGGGAGGAGGGGGCGGGGCCGGGGGCGGGGCAGGCTACCAGGGGCGGGGCCTCGCGGGCGAGGGGCAGGCTGGGAAGCGCCGCCATGTTGGCGTCGTCCGCGCTGTATTGTCATAAATAGAGCCGGTTATGTAGTGTTTTTACTACTCCGTTGGCTGCCTCGGCCGTGGAGAGTGAGAGAGTGTGCGAGCGAGCGAGCGAGCGACAGGCGACCAGAGGAAAGCGGACAAGAGGAGGGGAAGGAGCCGGAACGGGACTCCGGAGCGGGAGACACCCGCCGGTGAGGGAGGCGCAGGAAGCGATGAAAGAAACGTCTGCGTAAGTAGTTGTGGGGGCGGCGGTTGGGGGTGAGGCGGCGAGGGGTGGGCTGAGGTGGTCGGCCCGGAACTCCGTGTGCTCCGCCGAGAGTTCACCCGGGGTCTCCTTCCCCGCCCGGGTCGGCAAGGGCACCTCCCCGACCCCCGGCGGCTCACCTGGCTGCCCCTGCACATCGCACGGACTCGGGGACTCCGGGAGTCCCCCCCACCGGCCCTCGGCCGTCGCGGCCCCGAGGACGCCCCGCGGCGAGGATGCGGTGGGAGCGAAGCGAGTGTGTCCGTGGGGGGACATCGTGGGTCCCTCTCCCGCCCCAGCGGTGCCTGGACCGGTCTCTCCTCCCGTCTGCATTGGCGCAGATACCACCCCCCGGCGCCCCCTCCTGCCTTCCCGCCCCGCCGTCTCCCGGTCTCGAGGGTGAAGGACCGACCCAGCTCGTTCCTCCTCAGTCGTGGCTCAGGTCTTCTCGCCCTCCCCACCCACAGCCCCCAGTCCCCAGCACACAGCACACCTCCCGGTCTGTGACTCCGGCTCGCACTTGGGCAAGTCAGACGCGGATTCCGCGCTGGGCGGAGGATTTTGCTGTACCTTCTTACACGGTGTTTCCTTAGGAAATAATGGGGAAATGCAGTCTCACATGAGCATCATTTGTGTAGACACCATCCATCTTTCCCAGAGCATAATATTGTGTGTGTGTGTGTGTGTGTGCGCGCGCGCGTGTGCAGGGCATATTTTCATGTAAAAGAAATCGTTCCAGACACCTCTGAAGGATGCGCCTACCTCCTCCTGATTTGGTCCCCTTCGCCTCTCTCCCCAGAGTTCCCCCACGGCCCTGAATTGGGTGGTTTTTGCCGCATGTTTTTAATGCTGTTACTACATACTGTGTATATGCATGCCCATAGCTGGCATTGTTTTTTAAGCTTTATGTAACCAGCATCACATTGCTCATTCTGCAGCTTGCTTCTTTAGGGCAGCATAGTACCTTCGAACTTTGTCCCTTTGCATTTTAGATCTAGTTAATTCATATTAGCTAATGGATTTTATTCCATTTTATTCCATTGCAGGGATACACCTTAATTTCATTTTTTTCCAGTTAGTGACTATTTTAGGTTGTTTCTAGTTCGGGTGTGTGTGTGTGTGTGTGTGTGTGTGTTTAATTGATCTTTTAGAGAGAGCGAGAGAGGAAAGGGAGGGGAGACTTCAAATTGTTGTTTCACTTATTTATGCATTCATTGGTTACTTGTACTTACCCTGACCAGAGAAATAACCCGAAGCCGCGGACATGTTTCTAGTTTTTAATGTTACACTGTAGCAGTGAACATTCTTGTACCTGTGTTTTTGTACACTTGTACTGGAATTTCTCCAACATGTTTAGCCAGAAGTGAACTTTATGACCTAAAAGGAATGTGGGATTCTTTTGCCTTCCCCCCTGTCTAGGTGAGGGAGGTTCAGAATCATAGATTTGGAATTTTAGTGCCAGTAGGAACTTAGAAGGTGGGATACAAGATCATAGGTAGTGTCAGGACTGAAGTAGTGATGGGAGAATGGAGTGGTGGAAAGATCTTGAGTTTCGGAGTTCTGATTCTTCCTATCTTTTTAGATCTTGGGTACTTTGTAATGTGGCACTTATTCAATACCCACCTCTCAGGGTTAATGTTGCAATTAATGGAATGATCATATTATAATTAGCCTGTCCCATTCATTTACCATACACATACACACGCCCAAACAATACCAAATGCCTCTTTCTCTTAGAGGTAAAAGAGTTAAATCTTTAAAAAAGAAGTTACAACTTGAAATAATTAATGGGAATTTTATTTTTTCTGCAACAAAATAAATAACCAGAAAGAAAGCCACTAGTATTGATGTTTCTCTTTTGTTTGCATAATTTTAGAAGGTACTGTATATAGACTATTTTATCTTCCATTTCATTGTCTCTCCCTACCTAATGAAAATTTTAACCAAAGAGCATGTGATAAGTCAATGTTTTGACCAGTTAAAATTCAAAAACAATTAAACAATCATGTATTTTTGTGTGTTAATCTTTACAAGGCTAATTTATTCACTTAAAAGACTGCTCTTTGAACTCTAGCTGGTTTGGCTCAGTGGATAGAGCGAGGGCCTATGGACCAAAGCGTTCTGGGTTCAATTTCAGTCAAGGGCATGTACCTTGGTTGCAGGCTCCTCCCTGGCCTGGGCCCTGCTCAGGGCTCGTGCAAGAGTCAACCAATTGATGTGTTTCTCTCATATCGATGTTTCTGTCTTTCCCTCTCTTTTCCACTCTCTCTAAAAATCAATGGAAAAATATCCTTGGGTGAGGTTTAACCACAAACACACACAGACTGCTCTTTGAGATTACATTCTTTTTTTTTTCTTTTTAATTCTTTATTGTTGAAAGTATTACATATGTCTCCTTTTTCCCCCTTTGCCTCTCCCAGCCTGTCCCCACCCCCCAGCCCTGGCCTTCACCCCCACCCCATTGTCTGTGTCCATTGTTATGCTTATATGCATACAAGTTCTTATCCCCTCAACCCTCCCCAGCCTTCCCTCTGAGGTGATTCTGTGTCTCTGGATCTGTTTTTGTTCATCAGTTTTGTTGTATTCTACAAATGAGTGAGATCATGTGATACTTATCCTTCTCTGACTGGCTTATTTCACTTGGCATAATGCTCTCCTGATCCATTCATGCTGTTGTAAATGGTAAAAGTTCCTTTTTTTACAGCAGCGTAGTATTCCATTGTGTAGATGTACCACAGTTTTTTAATCCACTTATCTGCTGATGGGCATTTAGGCTGTTTCCCAATCTTAACTATTGAAAATTGTACTGCTATGAACATAGGGGTGCATATGTTCTTTCTGATTGGTGTTTCTGATTTCTTGGGATGAGATTACATTCTTACTGTAGGTGTTAATGGTCCTTCATGAAAGGATACAGATAGGTGATAGGGTTAGTTGATTATTTTGTATGTTGGTTTTTACTTTCCTTTTTTTAGCATAATTACAAATTTTACTAACCCATGTTGGTCCCAAATTTTATTTTGAAATTATTAGTCTGTGTAAATCCAAAATCTCAGAAATTCTGTTGTGCTATATTCAAGACTGTAATTTCCTGATGTCTAGGATCTTTTCAAGAGGAGCTTATATTCTATAACTGGTTGCCATTTAGTGTAAAGAATTTGATAATTATTCAGTGTGAAAATGGTCTGGGTACCAGTCTACATGAAGGTGTTCACAAAAAGTTAGGACTATGAACTCTGATTCAAGTAATGGATGTTAAGTTGGGTATCTCAAAGACAAATCTATTTGTGATTTCTTTTTATAAGTCAGAATATTTCACAAGGACCTTCTAATGGAATGTTTTTATTTCTTTCCTGAGGGAGGGAAAAACATTGTTTTTACTTACTTTCTTTCAAGTGGCGGACTGCTTCAGAGATTGAATCTAGATGGCACTTGACTTAGGTCTGTAGGATATAGTAGAGGTGGCCCTAGCCCAACTCCTATTCAGGCTCTTTGAATTTGAGCTGAGTGGTGTTGGCACAGTTGTCCTGATGCCAACACATGCTGCTTTTGACTTGAAAAAACATGCTAGCCATGAAAGCTGAAGATAGTATGGATAGCCTTTCATCAATACAAACACAAAACACCCTTTTTTCCTTTAAAAAAAAGTGCCCACACTGAGTGTTAGTACTAATAAGTAAACTTTTAAGGTAGCTAAGTTAACAAGTGAATTGAGAGATTCAATGTATCAGTATGATATGATGCTTTAAATTTTTTCTGCTATTTAATTTTTCTTGAACAGAAACACCATGCTGGATAGCCAGCATAAACAAAAGCATTATGGAATCACTTCTCCAATTAGCTTGGCATGTCCTAAAGAAATTGATCACATTTACACACAGAAATTAATTGATGCCATGAAACCATTTGGAGTTTTTGAAGATGAGGAAGAATTGAACCACAGGTATGTCACATAAAAATGCAAAATATTTTACAGTATATTATTTAGTCATTAATTCTACAAACATATATCAGGTACCTATTATGTCCCTGCCTAAACGTTTTTTTAAAAAGGACAAATGAAGAGAAACCTTGGCGTTCCTGGAATTTATATTTTAGGTGATTGTTAGGGAAGGAGACTAACATTTAGCCAAATAAGTAAAATAAATATATGTTACATGTGATGAATACTGCTGGGAAAGAGTAGTGATGCTGACAAAAATAAAGCTGGGAGTGGAGGTTGTCAGTGAAGTCTTCATTGACATTTCAGGAAAAAATTGAAGATGAGGGAGCTATGTGAATAGTTGAGGGAAAAGCATTCTAGACAGAAGGCTTGAGGTGGGAGTGTACCTGCTTTAAGGAATATATAGCAAGGTAGCCTGGTGTCTAAAGCAAGTGAGTTAAGTAGAGGAATGTGGGCGTAAAGAAAGTGAGGTAGAAAGGAGTTTGGAGGGGAAGGTCACTTAGGACATTGTAAGCCGCTATAAGTTTTGGCTTTGCCCTGGCTAGTGTTTTCAGTGGTTAGAGCATCAGGCCCCGCACCAAAAGGTCTCGGGTTTGATTCCCAGTCAATGGCACGGACCTGGGTTCAGGTTCCATCCCTGGGGCACATGCAGGAAGCAACCAACCAATGTGTCTCACATCCATGTTCCTCCCCCTCCCCTCCCCCCTTCTCCTTCCCTCTTCCTCCCTCTTCCCCTCTCCCACTCCCTCATGTGAGGATTAACAAAAAACAAAACAAAAAAGTTTTGGCTTTTACTTTGAGTAAAATGGGAAGCTATTAGGGTTTTGACCAGAAGGTTGATGTGATTTACTCATATTTTAACACAGTCGCTCTGGTTGCTATATTGAGAATAGTCTGAAGAGAGATCAAGTCTGAACTGGAGAAATTAGTTGGAAGGCTAATATAATCAGGGAAGAAATGATGGTGGCTGGCAGTGGTTATGATAAGAAGTAGAATTTTGGATATGTTTTAAAGGTAGGGTTGTCTGATGACTATGGAATGTGTGAGAGAGAAAAGATGAGAGAGGATCAAGAATGATGCCAAGGTTTTTGGTCTCAGCACCTCATGAAGGATGAAATTTCATTACCTGGGGAAGGCTGAGGGAGAAGCAAGTTTGGACAGATCCAGGAATCCAGTTTTTCATGTTATCTTTAAGATACTTAAACTCTACTTTTCCTTCTTTCTTTTTTTTATTATTATTTTTTAATCCTCAACTGACAATATTTTTCCATTGATTTTTAGAGAGGGAAAGAGAAATATTGATGTGAGAGAAACACATCAATTGGTTGCCTCTTGCATGTGCCCCGACCAGGGTCTGGGCCGGGGAGGAGCCTGCAACCAACATATATACCCTTGACGGAAATCGAATCCGGGACACTTCAGTCTGCAGGCTGGCACTCTATCCACTGAGTCAAACCATCCAGGCTCTTTTTTCTTCTTTTAATGTGGGATTTGGATATGCCATTGTTTGCAAATTTATTTTAATATCAGTTGCATTTATTAAGAATATTATTTCATAAAAAGCAGCCAGTGATTAATTTACCCATTTTAATTATCCAAAAACCTATGACTTTTAATGAGAGAAGGCTAATCTCTATTATTATCATATTGAATTGATTTTTATTCCAATGTAGGGCCAAAAAAGTTGATAACTCATTTGGCCTTTGCAGCCTTCTTGAAGGTAATTTTGACTTTTATTAGGCTTCTTGAATTTTGAAAATAACTCAAAGACTGAAAAAATACTGTTATCACATATATCATCTCTTTGGAACTCTTAGGGACCTAAGAATGCCAAAGAGATTTGATAGCATCAATCCTGTCTAATAAAGAGGAAACATGCAAATTAACCATCACACCATCACAAAGATGGCAGCACCCTGTCCCCTCAGCCCCGCCGGAGTCCCCCAGTCCTTTCAGCACCACCAGGGGATGCGGGGGCGGGGGGGGGGGGTTGGGGAGGTGGTGGCGGCAGGAGCATGGTGCAGCTGGACCTGCCCTCAGCCCCCCAGCTGCCCAGGGCCAGCCCAAGGCGCAGGCAAGCCTTGGATGGCGACTGCCCGAGGCTCAGGTAACCAGGGTTGGCCGAGGCTTGCGCTGCTGGCAGTGGCAGCAGCAGAGGTGTGATGGGGGCGTCACCTTCCCCTGATCGCCGGGTCGCTTCCCGCCCCTGAGGGCTCCTGGACTATGAGAGGGGGCAGGCCGGGCTGAGGGACCCCCTTCCAGTGCATGAATTTTCATGCACTGGGCCTCTAGTGTGTGTATAATATGCCTTTACCCTAACACCAACACAAAGGTACTGCCTATATACTTAGTTGCTTTTTAAGATATTGTTTGTTTGTTCATTTGTTTTTTAATCTAATACATGCTATTTTTTTTTATTATTATAGGCTGGTTGTTCTTGGTAAATTAAACAATTTAGTAAAAGAGTGGATTTCCGATGTTAGTGAGAGTAAGGTAAGACTTTAAAACTGCATTGAATTCATAGTTTCATTACATCCTGTTCTTTAGTAGTGGTAATAAGATATAGGAGTTGAGAATAATCTGAAATACATTAAAACTGGCTCTTTGGTATACTTGGTAATGAATTGGTCTGGACAGTGGAGTCTAAAAAAATGAGGATTTACCTCAGAGGTAGCCAATTAGCTAAAACTTCACATAAATATCTTGCATGACTCACAGTAATGGACCACAATTTAAATATCAAGATACTTTATTTAAAAAGCCAGATTTCGGACTTGTTGTGAAATATCAGCTCTGGCAATACTGGGCCTGCCTTTGTGGAAGGCAGGAAGAGGCTTGAATGGAATTGGGCTTCTGCTCTGCAGGAATGCCTCTCAGCTTCCCCACTTCCTGCCCTTTCTGAAGCAGCACCTGTCATTTATCAGTCAGTTTCTGTGTGTCTTAAGGGTACTTTCCTCAGTTGCATACCTGCGTGACCCCTGAGACAGGAGTTTGCAAACCCTAATTTATAATTATACAACTTTTCCTCCTGTGGTGGTTTAACTATTTTTCTTCTAAAATTAATTATTTATATTTTTGCTTTCTTAAGTATTGTTAATATAATTGTATTTTCATTTGTCTGAGAATCATCATTATGAATATTATATTACTGCCTGTACTAAAATGAGGGGGGGATGTTCAACTGGTGATACTTTTTGTCCCTTGACTAAGTGGCCCAAACTGTTGTATATTAAGGTTCTTGTTTGTTTTTTATAGTTTTCCCATCTTTCCCTTAACAGCAATCAGCTAAAAGTTAATGTCTCAGAGCAGTCAATGTGTCTCTGCAAACTCACTTTCTACTCTTTAATCTGCATGGATTTAGAAATTACATAAACATCTGTTAGACTTCTTTTTTTTACGACTTTTATTATTTCTTTCTGTACCTATGATACATATTTAAAATTGAGTTCTTTTAAACAAAATTATGAATAAGGTTATGAGGGACTCTGCTAAGTCTGTAGTCATTGGGTTTAAATAAATGGTCTTCATGCTGTTTACTTTTGCTGCCAAATGGCTATTGGCTCATTTCTTAGCTCTCAGTAGGGTTATCAGTAGTTGAAATTTTCGGATAAGTTGTATTTTGAGCAAGTTAAATGCTAGTCATGAGTAATAAAAAAAATTCATATTTATTTCTCTGCTACTAGGTGATAAACTCCTTAAGAAAAAGGCCTGTCTTGTTCAACTGCACCACCCCAGGACAGGGCTCAGGCATTAAATAAATGTTAGGGAAACCTGTTGTCCCTCTCTAATCAGTTCATAATTTCAATGGGTGTGCAAACCAAATACCCAACTTGCTAGAATTATTTTAAAATCAGAGTAACCAGCTTCATAACTTCTTGTGTATGATCTTTATGTCAACTATTGTGGTTGTGCAGAAGTCTTTGCTTCCATCCCCATTCAAGGGTGCATTTATTAGCAAAAAGAGTTAATTTGTTGAGAGATGACCTAATTTTCTCACTTTATAGTTTCTTTGCACTTAGAATTAAAATTTTCAATGTCAAATGTTTTTTTAATTAGTAAAATTGCTTTTTATTCCATTTTAATCAATTAGCTCTTTAATCTGCAAAAACCCTGTAGCTGGTTTTCACTCAAAATCTAGGCATAAAACCATTGTTAAAATTTTGAAACTGCCACAACTTGGCTTTTTTCTAAAGCAAAGTAAATAAAATATCTACTTATTTGAAAATTTAAATTGGTTTTAACATCATCTGTTACATGGATAAGGTGATTGGTCATTTTATGTATCAATTATAATTCCCTTCATTTATGCATGCTTTAGTTTGGAAAATATCTGAAGGATTTGAGTTAGATCAAAGATTATTTGAATAGTCTATACACAATTGGGATATTTAAACAGCCTAGAACTCCAAATCAAATCATTTTAGTTAATAGGTTTGTGGCAAAAATATTTTACTTGGAGCTTTTGTGTGTTACTTTCTGATATATCATGCAAGAATCATGTTTTTCAAAGTAGGAAGGTCTTAGGAGGAGGGTAAAATAAAAGGTCCTTGCTTCTCTATCCTTTGATTTATATTAGTCATCAATAAATTTACTAACTTCATTCTAGCTATAAAGTTATTTATGATACTCTTGAAACATTAATATTTATTAAGCAGAGGAAATAACAATATCCTATTATACAGATATTTTTATTCAAGTTAATCAGCAGATATTATTCTTTGGAATTTTCACTGGGCATTGTGGGGAAATAAGAATTGTAGGAGACACCATTCTCATCTTCCAAGGAATTTAAATATAGTTGAAGAGGTGGGACTTACAGAAAAAGAATGATCACTAAATATAATATAAAAGGGGTTAAAGATAATAGTAGAGGAGCAGTGAGGGGGGAGCGGAAGATAATTAGGAAAGGCTTCATGAAAGAGGTGGAACTTGAAGTGAACTTTGAAAAATAGATGGTATTGAGATACTCAGAAAGAGATGGGCAAACATTCATGGCAGGGAAAATGGCAAATGCAATGGGAAGGAGACTGGATTGTGTGACATGTTGGCAGTTGGAGCTTCAGAAGGGAAGATCAGGAGACGAGGCAAGGAAGATTCATAGGAGCATATTGTGAACTTCCTTAGGATCCAAGGATCCTTACCTCAGTGGTCAGGGAAGAGTGTATTGGGAAGTTTTGAGTAGAAGAGTTATAATAGAGTAATTTAAGAATATCAGTGAATTTTGTACACAGTGGAATAAGAGAAAATAAAGACTAAGGGCAAAAGGATAGCTTTATGCTACTGTTAAATGTCCTAGAATTAAGGGGGTGATAGTTGAATAGAAAGTAGGTGACATGAGGGATATAAACTAAAAATTGTAAGCCAAAAAGAAGAAGAATGAGTATAGGTATGGGCAGAAAGGTTGCTGAGCTAGGATCAAGAAATTAAGATTATCTGTCACAAAAAACAAAGGGCAGATGGGATTAGTCAAGAGTATCCTTATATAATAAAAGGTTAATATGCAAATTGTCCTGTGGAAGTTCGACAGGGAGTTGGGCCACTCGCTATGACATGTGCCGACCACAAGGGGGCGGCGTGGAACGAAGGAAGGCCCCAATTGGCCCTAATCACCGGCCAGGCCTAGGGACCCTACCCATGCACAAATTTCGTGTACCAGGCCTCTAGTGATAATATAGAGAGCTGAAAGCATTAATTAGTTTGGTAAAATTCCTTGTGGCTGTTGAGAGTGATGGAGCCAAAGATATGCAATTGGAGGGGACAAGTAGGGTCAAGTGATAAAAATGTTTTTCTTCTATAGAGATGTGTGTATGTGTAGTGGACATGGATTTGTTTTGTCTTCCCTCCTTATTTCAAGCTGCAACCAAAAGAGCTCCGAAGTAATTTTACAAACTTTAGCTTACCAAAGTTGACAAATACAGTATGTATCTGTAGCAGTTAGGTGATTTTTATGCTAAATAATTTGAATAATTGAATGCCTTTTGTTTAATTTTATTTTAGAATCTCCCACCTTCTGTTGTGGCTACTGTTGGTGGTAAAATTTTCACTTTTGGCTCCTATAGGCTTGGAGTACATACCAAAGGTAACTGCTTTTCTGTGTTCTGATAAAAATGTTCACTAGAAAACTTCTATTTGTTCATAATTTAAAAATACAGAAGAAAAAATTCCTATTATCTCACTACTCAGAACTAATTATTATTAGCATTTTCTGTAGTCATTACATATTTTCTTTTACATGTTTGTGTGTACTTAACAAAAATATGATACATAATATGCTCTTCTTGATAAGAAATACTTTGATTTGTAGGAGCTGACATTGATGCACTTTGTGTAGCTCCAAGACATGTGGAGAGATCTGATTTTTTTCAGTCTTTTTTTGAAAAATTGAAGCATCAAGAGGGCATTAGAAATTTAAGGGTAAGTATCCTCTGGTATGTAGTATCTTGAACTTGTTAATAAATAGCTGTAAAAGCTAAGGTTTACGATTGTTGAAATATTTCTTAAGAAGTTGCTCTATCTTGTTAAAATAATGATAATGGTTAATAACATGGGCTTTATCGTTTTACACATCTGGATTTGAATCTAGAAATCTACCAAATATTAGATCTTAGATTTTGGTCAAGTTATCCATTCTCTCTGAGCCTTCGTTTTCCTCTCTTATAAAGTGGAGATGGCATATAATAACATTTTTATAAAGTTTTTCTGAGGATCCATGAGATAATTTACATATATAAAGTTTAATTAGTAGTAACCCTTTATATGTGTACTAGAGGCCTGGTGCATGGATTCATGCACTGGTGGGGGCATGGCCTGTGGTGATCCGCCTGCAGTGGGAGCGCCGCTCATTCTGGTCAGCCGAGTGGTGCTCCCTGTGGGAGTGCACTGACGACCAGGGGGCAGCTCCTACGTTGAGCATCTGTCCCCTGGTGGTGAGTGCACGTCATGGCAACTGGTTGACGGTTGTTCCGGTAGTTCCACCATTCAGTCACTGGGCTTTTATATATGTAGATATGTAGCCATTCATTCAGCAAATTAGTTTCAGCATTAATGATTCATCAGACACTGGCCTTAGTCCCACAAATACAGTAGTGAACAAGACATTGTTTATGGGAAGGAGGGATTAGGGGAACTAACCAAGTGAATAGTTTTAATACAATCTGAGATGCTAGGATAAGATGAAGTTCAAAGGATCTGCATTATTTGGGTGTGTGGGAATAGAGAAGACGGTTAAAAACTTATATTCGGATTAAGGAAGACTCAGACTTTTCTACTAAATCTAAACTATATTGACTGTATTATTTTTTGATAGATTAATCATAAGTTCTTTTTTTTAAACTATATTTTATTGATTTTTCACAGAGAGGAAGGGAGAGAGATAGAGAGTTAGAAACATCGATGAGAGAGAAATATCGATCAGCTGCCTCCTGCACATCTCCTTCTGGGGATGTGCCCACAACCCAGGTACATGCCCTTGACCGGAATCGAACCTGGGACCTTTCAGTCCGCAGGCCGACGCTCTATCCACTGAGCCAAACCGGTTTCTAATTTCTAACACAAGTGCTCTTTGTAAATAATCAGTTTTCAATTTGATCAACAATAATAAGTACTCAGATGATAGCAATTCTGCCTGCCAGTTTGTGATGAATATTTTTAGGAGATTAAGTTAGATAACAGCTGTCATAGACATTTTGTGCATCTTAAATAACACAGTCACAAAGTAGAAGTACTAACCTAGAATGTGAGGCCAAGAACATTTTCACTTTTTCTGTTGAGTTTAATACAAATTGGGAGCAAAGGAATTCACATTATTGGCAATTAGGAAGGATTTAGAAAGGATTACAGCTTATCTATATGGAGCAGAGGTATTCATATTATCAGCAAATAGGAAAGATGTAGAAAGGATTATGCCATGTATATATAAATTTTTCTTTTTTTGTAGGCTGTAGAAGATGCCTTTGTACCTGTTATAAAATTTGAATTTGATGGAATTGAGGTAAGTGTTTTTAATATTTTTCTGACTGTACAGTTGAACTATTTAACCCATAAGGGCTTTTTGAGTTATTTTCTTTTTTTAAAATAAGACTTAAGAATCTATTTTAACTAATCAAATAGTCTTTAAATAGACCCTCACATTCCTCTTTCCTATATCTGTTGATTTCTCACCATGGAAAATGAACCAACTTTCATCCCTACCCTAGTCTCATTTCCATAATCTCCTAACATAATTATATTATGTTAATTGCTTTGCGATTTATTTGCTTAGGCCTTATTCTTAAGACTAATTCAAACCCTCCTGTCATATTTGTCTAAATCTCCTTTAAATAGATTTCTCGGTATTCTGTCATCATTCTGGGAAAATATCTCAGAATCTTCTCACCTGTTCCAGTTCACTCTGATTATTCTCTATGGCTGATATATACAGCTGACATCCTAACATCTTTTTTTTTTACTATCATCCTGGGATTTCCTCTTGCCTCTCTCTAGAGTTTTCTTTCTTGACTCTCATTTTAGTGGCACTTATCCACTAGCTTCCTGAGAAAGAGCACATGGTTTTGAGATCTTGCATGTTTAAAATATCTTTCTTTTTTTCTCACACCAAAATGGTAGTTTGGCTAAGTAATGGTTCTCAGAATTTTGAAGGCCTTGCTTCATTGTCTTACAGCTTCCATGCCGTGTTGAAAAGTGTGATGCCATTTTAATTTCCTCATCCTTTGTATGTGATCTATTTTGTCTCTTTGGACACTTATATGATTTTTTTCCCCTAGTCTTCACAGTTGTAAAATTCATGGTGATATACTTTAGTATATGTCTTTTCAATTAAATATGCTAGGTATTCAGTAGTCCTCTTTCAACTTAGAAACCCCTGCCCTTCAGTTCTTGGAAATTATATTGACTTCCATTGGATTTCCTTCCTTTGTTTTCTCTCTCCTTTCTGGAGCTCCTAATATTTGTATGTTGGACCTCCAGGATTGCCACCCCCCCCTTTTTTTTTCTCCAAATTTTTTCCTTCCACTTATTGGCCACATCTTCATATTTTTGTTTTGCTTTTTGTGATTTTCTCTTCCAAACTTTCTATTGCTTTCCATTTCTGTCACATACTTAATTTCTAAGAATTTTTATATTCTCTTAAATATTCCTCTTTGTTATGTATGTATTTACAGCCTCTTGTCCTTATTTCCTGGTTATAAATATTTTTAATCTTTGCTGTTTGAGATCTGCTGAGTTGTTATCACTTACCCGTCTACTTTCCAGCTTTCATAATTTTTGCTGTTGTCTCATATTTTCCTTTGTCCTAATGAGTTATGTGTTTAAAAACAAAATAAAACTAAACAAAACAAAATTTTGCTGGTATTTTAGAGGGGTCTCAAGAGGGAGTGAATGTAAATGTGTGTTGGATCTGCCATCTTTATCTAGAAATTCACTTATAAGGTCTTAAGTTGGTTTTTTGGTGTGTGTTTGTTTTTTTTAAGCTTGGCATATATGTTAAAATTAAAATACTTTCCCTTAATTTGAAGATTCAATTGCCCTCACAAAACTTTTGGTGATTTTCGCATCTGAGATGCCTACATAGGCCTTTTGAAGTTTTAAAGAACTTCCAAAACTAATAATTACAACATTTTACATTTTTGAGGTGGGGATGGGGGAGAATGAACTAGAAGGAGAAAAAGTAATATTTTTCTCTTTTTTTTTGCATCTTTCCAAAGATTGACCTAGTTTTTGCAAGACTGGCAATACAAACCATATCAGATAATTTAGATCTAAGAGACGACTCTCGACTGAGAAGCCTTGATATAAGGTGTATTCGCAGCCTAAATGGTAAGCTTCTAAAAAGAATTCTCAGCCATCTGCCTGAAAACAATTTGACATATAGAGATCTTTTTGCAGAACTAGTAATGGACTTTTAAAGGGATTCGACTAAATCGTTTTTAAAATGATGTAATTTTCTCTATGCACATTTCTCTGACCACATTTAAACATCTTTAAAAGAAATTTGTTTGAATGTTGTTTATGTTTGTAATAGTGGTTTTCAAACATATTGGTCTCAGGACCCGTTTACACTCTAAAAATTTATTGAGGACCCCAAAGATCTTCTGTTTATGTAGGTTATATCTAGTACTGACCATCTAATATGGTCAATATTTACCATATCAGAAATAAAAACCAAGAAAATTTTAAAGGGTGTGTTAGTTCATTTTAAAATAACAGTAAACATTTTTGTGTGAGCAATGGCTTTGTTTTGCATTTTTGCAAATCTTTTTAATATTTGATTTAGTAGAAGATAGCTAAATTTTCATATCTCCTTTTATAGTCAATATCTTACAATGTTTTGTTTTGATTGAAGCATAGGAAGAGAAACTGGCCTCTTAAAGATATGTAATTGGAATAGGGAGGAGTATTTTAATAATCTTTTCAGATAATTGTAGATATTCTTTGATACTACACTAAAACTTGACCAATAATAGTTTTTTTTCTTTTCCATAGTTTTATTGAGGTCTAATTACATACCATAAAATTCATTCTTTTTAGGTATACAATTTAGTAGTGCAGAGTATATTCAGAGTTGTGTACAACAGTTGAATTTTGGAACATTTTCATCATCCTCAAAAGATCCCTCATACCTATTTGCAATCATTCCCTTTTCCAAGTCCCCAGTCCTAGGCAACCACTAATATACTTTCTATTTCTATAGATTTGCCTTTCCTGGACATTTCATATAAATGGGATCATTAGTTTTGTGTCTGGCTTCTTTCACTTGTAATGTTTGTGAAGTACATCTATGTTTGTAGTATGTTTCAGTAGTTTCCTCCTTTTATTGCTGAGTAAAAGTGATCTTTTTAAAAAGGTTAGTTAGAATATCTAATCTAAAACCATATCAGTTAACTTTTTGAACTGTTACATTAAAAATCCATTGGTCTACCTTGTTCTTTAATTGGATTTTTTTATCCATGCTTGATTTTGTACGATGATGACTTCATCATTTGGAAAATTTTGGTTCACAAAATTATTTGGCTCTTCTAAATGTTAACTCACATTTTGTTATAAAATCAAAATTACATTTATTAATATCTCCAATATCATCAGAAAAGTATAAGTATTAGAAAGCTGTCAAGCTCACAGTAACAGATACTAGTTATCCAAAATTCTAATTTTTACTTGGAAGCTCAAATGTTATTATTGGCAACAAATTTTTGTCATTTGTTTTCTTTGATATAAGGCTCACTTTGTTTTGTTTTTAGAAAGTATCTGCTAAATACTCAAGCATGAATAGCCATAGTTGTCTGTCAATCATTATTTCAAGTGAAGTTGGTATTCCTTAAAAAAAAATGGGTAGCTCAGCTTGCCTCGAACATGTTCAAATATCCGCACAGGTTCCTTAGCTCTCTTCTAACTGCAAATGTGTGGCAGTAAACATGTCTGCTTAGTACAGTGTTGCTACAGCTTTAATTTACTGCTAAGGTACCAGCAGTTTTACCCACCACTTCTTTCAGTGCAAATGTTAACACAGTGAAACAAGGCAAAGAAAGCCTTAATGCAGTTATAAAAATGGGTTTGATCTAACAGATTCCCAGGGGTCCTTAGACCATACTTTGAGAACTACTGGTTCATAGTATCTTTTGTTTAACTGAATCATTGTGTTTTGCTGTCCTTCTAGAGTGCAACAGTAAATCACAGTGTTTGTGAATAAGGTTTGCATTAAAGCAATAACACTTTTATAACTTGGGAGCATTTAATTAACAGTCAAGTCAAATGTGGAAGAATGCTAAAAAGATAGACCTATCCCTTATTTTAGTATTGGATTGCTTTACCCATGTGCTTTGAATTCTTTAAATTAATTTAATTCTTTAAATGAAAGTCTTTGAATTAACTAGGTTTTGTTGCATAATGAAATACGAGTGCTTTATCTTTTTCAGGATGTAGAGTTACTGATGAAATTTTGCATTTAGTGCCAAATAAAGAAACTTTTAGACTCACCCTAAGGGCAGTCAAATTATGGGCAAAACGTAAGTATCCCAACTCTTATTGTATGTTTGCATTATAAAATTATAATTTTCTTTTTTATTGTTGACAATGTTACAGATGTCTCCTATTTTCTCCTTTTTGCTTCCTTCTACCCAACCTCTGCCCCACTCTAGGCCTTCCCCATACTGTTGTCTATGCCCATGGGTTAAGCATATATGCATATATGTTCTTTGGTTAATCTCTTCCTGTCCCCTCCCACCTCCCAACCTCTACTGAGATCTGTTATTCTGTTCCATGCATCCATACGTATGGATCTATTTTGTTTGTCAGTTTATTTTGTTCTTTAGATTCCACATATAAGTGAGATGATGTGATATTTGTCTTTCTCTTACTGGCTTATTTCGCTTACATAATAGTCTCCAAGTCCATCTATGCTGTCTCAAAGGGTAAGAGATCCTTCTTTTTTACAGCCACATACTCCATTGTGTAAATTACCACACTTTTTTATTCACTCATCTACTGATGGGTGCTTGGGCTGTTTCCAGATGTTAGCTATTGTAAATAATGCTGATATGAACATAGGGGTGATTATATTTTTTCTGATTGGTGTTTCCTGATTCTTAGGATATATTTTCAGAAGTGGGATCGCTGGGTCAAATGGCAGTTCCATTTTTAATTTTTTGAGGAACCTCCGTACTGTTTTCCACAGTGACAGCACCAGTCTGCATCCCCACGAGCAGTGTACTAGAGTTCCCTTTTTTCTACATCCTTGCCAGCATTTAGTGTTTGTTGATTTATTGATGTAGACATTCTGGCAAAATTATCATTTTTAGTTGCTAATGATAGAAGCATACATGAAAACTCTTGAGCCTATTGATACCGATTGAGGTCCAATAAGTTTTGGAGAAGCTGTTTCTTTTTCAGGTGCAATAGTTATGGTGCTATAATGTGTAACTGTACTTCTTTCTCCCATGGCTGAAAACTGAAAGCCCCTGACTTTCCATCTTGGGTTTCAGCCAGGCAGTCAGAATGAGTTAGGACTGAAGAGTATACTCTTCACTGATCTTTGAGCTCTCTTTGGGCAGGAGTGTCTTACTTATCTTTACTCCCCATCACCAACAAAGTTTATAGTAAGTGTTCAGTAAATTTATTAAATGAAAAGCCTACAGTGATAGTTTTAACTTGTTTTTGTTTTACGCTATAACACCCTTCTAATAAAACCTGGAACTGCACTAGTTTAAATGTATAGGATATGGTTAGTAAAAGGCCCAGTCCTGAGCTGGCATAGCACATTTGTACTATTTGTAACTACATTTAACTGCTACACTTCTGGCACCAGGTTTTATATAGTCTGAAACAGTGCTCTCCAATAAAAACTTTCTGTGATGATGGAAATGTTTCCTATTGTGCTGTCCAATACAGTAACCATGTAGCTACCAAGTTCTTGAAACATGCAAGTGAGAAACTAAATTTTAAATTTTATTTTATTTTTTTTTAAATATATTTTATTGATTTTTTACAGAGAGGAAGGGAGAGAGATAGTTAGAAACATCGATGAGAGAGAAACATCGATCAGCTGCCTCCTGCACACTCCCCACTGGGGATGTGCCCGCAACCAAGGTACATGCCCTTGACCGGAATCGAACCTGGGACCTTTCAGTCCACAGGCCGACGCTCTATCCACTGAGCCAAACCGGTTTCGGCAATTTTAAATTTTATTTAATTTAAAATTAAATAGCACCTAAGAGAAGTAAAAAGGTATGTCCACACAAAAACTGATGAACAAGAGTTCATAGCAGCTTTATTCATAATAGTAAAAAAGTAGAAACAACCGCATTATATAAACTGATGAACAGGTAAACAAAAAGTGCTATTCCTATAATGTGGAGTATTATTTGGCAATAAAAAAGGAATGAGGTATTTATTGATATATGTTACAACATATATGAACATTGAAACCATTATGTTGAATGAAAGAAGCCAGTAATAAAAGACCACATATTGTACAATTCCACTTATATGAAATGTCCAGAACAGCAAATCTATAGAGACAAAGTAGATTATAGGTTGCCTAAGTTATGGAGGATTGGGGGCCACAGGAAATGTAATGTCAAAGGTTTCTTTGAGGGTGATGAAAATGTTCCAGAATTGATTGTAGTGATGATTGCACAACTCGGTGAAGAATATATTAAAAGCCATTGAATTTTATACTTTAAATGGATGAATCCTAAGGTATGTAAATGATGTCTCAATAAAAGCTGTTACACGCCCCCCTCAAAAAAAATAGCCAAATGTAACTAGTAGCTACCATAATATTAGTGCACATCTAAAAAGACCTTAAGCAAGTAGAGTTTGTCTTTTGGCTCAGTTACCTTGTATAGTCAGGATAAAGTAATTTACACTGAGAGGATATCACAAGTAATTTGTCTTCCCTTACAGATTAAATGCCATGTTTTGTTAATTCTTAGGCATATCTTTCACATTTAATATATCTGAAATTGATATATAAACAGTTGTATTTTTTCTCTTGTTTGCTTAATGGGATATAAAATCATGCTATATTATATAATTGAAAGAGGATCTTAAGTTTGCTGAAATATGGTAATGCTTTTTTATAGATTGCTATAAGAAACAATCATACGAGAATTGAGTAGTATCAGTGATGTGCTGTGCTTTATGGAAAATTCTAAAGTTATGCAAATTATGCAGAATAATTATGCAAAATACTAAACTTAGTCCCTAGCTTTATACTTGATTTTAAAATGCCCATGAATATGATTACTAATGAAATGTTTATTCTTCCCTACTTATAGAACTCTCCAGATATCTTGCCTTTTTTTCATTTCTTTCTCAACCGTAAATATTGAAATGTGGGAGATTCCAATGTCATATCAGTGGAGTCTAGTTGGGCAGTCAGAACGGAGACAGGGAATAAGGGTTTCTGTATTGGAGGGCAAAGTAGGGGGCTATGGTGAGCAGGTTATGGTTTACCAATAAGACTAGGCCTAGCATGAAGGTCTACTTCTTGATTTTAATGTGGTTTTTTTTTAAAATATATTTTTTATTGATTTCAGGGAGAGGGGGAGAGAGAAACATCAGTGATGAGAGAGAATCATTGATCTGCTGCCTCCTGCACACCCCCTACTGGGGATCCTGCCCGCATCTCGGGCATGTGTCCGGACCTGAAATCAAACTCTGATCTCCTGGTCCATGGGTTGATGCTCAACCACTAAGCCACACTGGCTGGGAGATTTTAATGTTTCTATAGAGGGAAAGAGTTCTAAGCAACAGTCTTATGAAGGAAGTAATCCTGTTCTTTACAGTTGAATGACATGGATAGTAGGTCCTAACGATAATTAACAAATATATTAATTTTATAGGACGTGGTATTTATTCCAACATGCTGGGATTCCTTGGTGGTGTCTCTTGGGCAATGCTAGTTGCAAGAACTTGCCAATTATATCCAAATGCAGCAGCTTCTACTTTAGTTCATAAGTTCTTTTTAGTTTTTTCCAAGTGGTAAGTATTCATATGCATACTTTCACTTACTTACTAACCTCTGCCTATTTGGAACTTTGTTTGGAAATTTAAGAGCTATGTATAGATTTTTTTTTTTTGTCTTAACATTTTCTTTCTATTTATTTATTTTGGTTAATCCTCACCCGAGGATATTTTTCCATTGATTTAGATAGAGTGGAAGAGAGGGAGGGGAAATGGGGGAGAGAAAGAGAAACATCAGGGCTGGGGACTGAACCTACAACCCAGGTATGGGCCCTTGGGTGTATGGGCAAATGCTCTAACCATTTAAAAACGCCATCCATGGCTTATATTCTTTTTTTTCTTTTTTTTTTTTTTTTTTTTTTTTTTATATATTTTATTGATTTTTTACAGAGAGGAAGGGAGAGAGACAGAGAGCTAGAAACATTGATGAGAGAGAAACATCGATCAGCCGCCTCCTGCACACCTCCTACCGGGGATGTGCCCGCAACCCAGGCACATGCCCTTGACCGGAACCGAACCCGGGACCCTTCAGTCCGCAGGCCGACGCTCTATCCACTGAGCCAAACCGGTTCTGGCTCTTTTTTTTCTTTTTCGTTGAAAGTTTAAAAACATCAAATTAGAGGGAGTGTTGGGACATCAGATGTCACTTTCCAGGGGTCTATAAATGCGCATCTTTAGCTTGAGAGAGTGGTCACAATACTAGCCAATTACTATGTCGAGGTCATTTAAGATCTCCTCATGTAAAATATAGATAATAATCATAGCTGCTGCATGGGTTTGTTAGGAGTATTTTCAGTAAATATTAGTTGTTGCTGTTGTCAGAGTTAATACATGAAAGTAAATGAGAAGGAAAGGAAAAATTCAGATTTAAATTAGATACAGCTAATGGGCAAAGCTGTATTTACCCTTTCAGAGAACATTGCTTTAAAATGATCCACTTTTTTCCATTTTTTAAAATGCCCAATACCCAAAACATTTGCTATATGAAAGTTGGAACAAAGTCAAATAATGTTAACATTTCATATGGTTACTGAGGTGAGGTCCTATGTGAGCTAATCTGTCTTATGTTAGGGAATGGCCAAATCCTGTGCTGCTGAAGCAACCAGAAGAAAGCAATTTGAATTTGCCTGTTTGGGATCCTCGGGTAAGTGACTTATTATAGAATTTCATTAAGTCTTTTATGAAAAGGACAGTTCTCTAAATTATAATCTAAAGATAATTCTCCTTGTGCCTGCTCATCTTCTTTCTAATGTAACTAAAGTCCCTTCCCTTCCTCTGCTGTGCTTTTTGGTGCAGATGATGTGTTTTTCCAATGATAATCCAAATGTTATGTCATTAAAAATCACCCATATAAGACTATGGGAGTGGGTGTATCAACCAAAATGTCATAATCTATTTTTAAAACTGTCTTACAAATAATTTCTTATACAGTACTGAAGTACATATGTAAAAGATTTGCTTTGCAGTACAATTTAAAAAGCAGATTCATGGTTCCAAAATAGCATAAGTCTTACCTTGCATTTTAATTTGCTTTTAGAGTAATTGCTCATTTTTCTGAGTAACATAGGGGAAGTCACTGAATGAATAGGTGCAGAAAAAGGGTTGAGAACCATTGGACCAGATAATGCTTATTTGCAGCTATGATAGTGTGTTTCCCTGGTTCTAAGAGACTATTGTTTATAAGGTGCACCATCAATTTAACAGCTTTTCAGGGGAAAAATAAACTTCTGCAGAGTTTCCATTGACTGTCAGGCACATCTGACTTCAGAAATAAATGTAGTTGGGGATGGGATATGTACTTTTTAGAATTGAGGAAATGTAGTATTAAATTTATATTTCATATTCTTCAGACTTTTGGGGAAATGAAGTGAGGACAACTGAAATAGGAGAATAGATCAATTATTCTGCTTCTAATTTCACAGGTAAATCCATCAGATAGGTATCATCTCATGCCCATAATCACCCCTGCCTACCCACAACAGAATTCTACGTATAATGTGTCCACATCAACTCGAACAGTAATGGTAGAAGAATTTAAACAAGGTAAACCTATTGGCCCTATTGCCCTTACATATTCCCACAAGGTTTTGGTTGACAACAATTTTATTCTATTTTGTAGTTACTTATGCCTGTTATTTCTTAAAATTCTTTGAAATGTGTATTTATTTTTTCAGTAATTGGTTTTCCAAAATATATTATAATATTAAGGCCAGAAATGGAATCAGCCCAATCTGGTTGAAGTTGACTTTTGTGTTCTGAGAAAGAACATAATAAAGTTACTTTTTTTTTTTTACTCAAGAATTTGGTGGGGTTAGAGGTTTGGGGGTAGGGTAATACAATAATGCAGGAGCTGATAGATATGATAGTCATTGTTTAAAATCTCTCTCTCTCTTTCTCTCTCTCTCTTTAAACTTAGGTCTTGCAGTCACAGGTGAAATTCTTCAAGGGAAATCAGATTGGTCCAAACTACTTGAGCCACCAAATTTTTTTCAAAAGTATAGGTATTTGAAATTTTCCATTTTGTGTGTGTGTGTATAAAGAATAACATAAACTTATTACAAAGTTAATAAATGATAGGTCACAATTGTCATGTAATTTCAACTGAGTGAGAATAGGTTACCAGAACTCCTAAGTGATCAGTTTCTATATTGTAGTAGTACAGTATATAACCCATTGTTCGTGGTTTTTTTGTTTGTAGTGAATTGTTTTTTTCATTGCAGTGTCTGGAATTAATTTTGTAACAATTAAAGTATGTTTTGATTTTCATAAATTGTGTGCCTGCATTAGCTCTTTTGTTCATTGGGAGAAAGAAAAAGTAAGATGGAAAAGCAGACACTAACAATTTTTATTGCTTTTTATTCCCCTGATTGTTGCTGAAAATTCTTCATAGACATTATATAGTATTGACTGCCAGTGCATCAACAGAAGAAAACCATCTAGAGTGGTAAGACTTATATTTCAAGTTCTCTACCTACTGTTATAAATGGTAAAGCACCATATAAATATGTTACCACCATAAACACTTTCTCTATTTTCAAAATTATTAAATCTGATTAATGACTTGTACATGACCATGGAGCATCACCCACTGATTTATCTATTGTCTATGGCTGCTTTCCTGCTACAAGGCAGAGTTGAACATTTGCAACAGAAACAATGGAGCACAGAGGCTAAAACTTTTATCTGGCCTTTTATAGAGAAAGTTTGCCAATCTCTCATTTAGATTACCTTGAGGAATAATTCAGTGTTTTGTATACCTACTGTTGGAGCACACACAGTTAAAATGTGTAAGCTTTTTCTAGTGTTTAAAAAAAATGTAAAAGTGTTCTTGTAGCTAGTCTTTCTAATTCTTAAAATCATTAAATTAATATGATAGCTGACAGCAGTCACCTTTCTTAAGTGAGATAGAAAGTTGCAGAAATCTGATGAAACTTTGGATATTTTAGGAGTATCTGATCTGATTTTAGTGAATTTTTAAATGTAATATCTAGTATCAATTCTGTGAAAATCTTAGCCTTTTAAAAAAATCTTTATTGTTAAAAGAGTATTATATGTGTATTTCATAAATTAAGGGCCAATTACTAGCTTTTTTGGGTCACATTATTTAAACATATCTTACCCTTTTTAAAGAAATATATCTTTATTGATGAAAAAGTATTACAGGTGTCCCCTCGCTTAATTGCCCCCTTTTCTCTCCTCCACCCAGATCCCACCCCACACCAGGTCTTCACGACCCTATTGTCCGTGTCCATGGGCTGTGCATATCCTATCTAATAAAAGAGAAACATGGTAATTAGCCGTACCTCCGCTACCCTTTCCATTGGCTAATCAGCATATCCTTATGCAAATTAACTGCCAACCAAGCTGACGCGAACAGGGAGGCTTGCTTGCTCCAGTGATGGAGGAAGCCAGGTTCCCCGCCTGCTGCTGCCGGCCTCTGAGCTTGCAGTTTGAAACATTGTAACAAATATAGAAGCTAAACAAAACCCCAGAAACCTGCTTTAGTCAGCCTGGCTTCAGCCATCAGGATCGCAACATTGTTTCAAATACAGAAGGTAAACAAAGGCCAGAAACCTGCTTTCAGCAGCGGAGGCCTCATAGCTGGAGCCGAGCCTCAGAGCTAAAGCTGGCCCAGAATAAAAAAAAAGAAAAAAAGGAGCAGTTGGGAGCTTCAGTCACCCGCCAGCCTGAAAACAGCCCTCAGCCCCTCACCCAGACTGTCCAGGCACCCCAGTGGGGACCCCCACCCTGGAGGGGGTGTGTCCAGCTGCAAACAGCCATCATCCCCTCACCCAGGCTGGCCAGGCACCCAAGCGGGACCCTCACCCTGATCCAGGACACCCTTCAGGGCAAACCAGCCGGCCTCCACCTGTGCACCAGGCCTCTATCCTATATAGTAAAAGGGTAATATGCCTCCCAGCACCGGGATCAGCGGAGCCGCGAGGCCTCCTGGCCCCTGGAGCAGCGTGACAGGGGGCAGCGCCCAAACCCCCTGATCGCCCTGCGGCTCTGTGTGTGACAGGGGGCAGGGCCACAACCTTCCTATCTGCCCTGCTCTGTTCGTGACAGGGGAAGGCACCCCAACCCCCTGATCAGCCCTGCTCTGTGCCTGATAGGGGGAGCTCCCCAAACCCCTGATCGCCCTGCGGCTCTGTGTGTGACAGGGTAGAGCCATAACCTCCCCATCGGCCCTGCCCTGAGTGTGACAGGGTGCGGTGCCCCAACCCCCTGATCTGCCCTGCTCTGTGTGTGACGGGGCAGTGCCCCAACTCCCCTATTGGCCCTACTCTGTGAGTGACAGGGGGGAGCTCCTCAACCCCCTGATGGGCCCTGCTCTGTGAGTGACAGGGCAGCACCCCAACCCCCTGATTGGCCCTGCTCTGTGCGTGACGGGGGTGGCGCTGCAACCTCCCCATCGACCCTGCCTTGAGTGTGACGGGGCGGTGCCCCAACCCCCCAATCGGCCCTACCCTGAGCGTGACTAGGGGTGGCATCGCAACCTCCCGATCCGCCCTGCTCTGTGCATGACAGGGGACAGCGCCCCAACTCCCCAATCGGCCCTGCTCTGAGCCCGACCAGGGGCTGCACCTAGGGATTGGGCCTGCCCTCTGCCACCTGGAAGCGGGCCTAAGCCAGCAGGTCGTTATTTCCCGAGGGGTCCCAGACTGCGAGAGGGCACAGGTCGGGCTGAGGGACCTCCCCTTCCCCCCCCCCCCCCGAGTGCACAGATTTTTGTGCACCAGGCCTCTAGTCCTATATAATAAAAGGCGGATATGCAAATCGACTGAATGGGGAAATGACTGGTCGCTATGACACGCACTAACCACCAGGGGCCAGACACTCAACACAGGAGCCTTCCCCTGGTAGTCAGTGCGCTCCCACAGGGGAGTGCTGCTCAGCCAGAAGCTGGGCTCATGGCTGGTGA